CCAGCATGGCTGGCTGGGGAATTCTGGGAGTCGAAGTCCACACATCATAAAGTGGCCAGGGTTGAGAAACACTGGTCTAGAGAGGAGAAAGACTACTTTAGAGGAGGTCATGTCATAGCCAAGAAAACCCAGCCTGTTCTCTATCATCGTGCACTTAAGTTATTAGACGGCAGAACCCACTTGATGTTAAGAAGTTTTTCATGGATGGAACCTCGGGCCAAATCAGGTGGTGGTCCTCTCTTCCTCAGATGTGTTTAAAAAGAGGTGGGGCAGCCATTTGAAGGATGCTTTGAGACTGCTTCCCACACTCGAGTAGCTGGACCTTCCCCTCTCCAAGCTTCTACGAAAGCCTGCCGATAAATACATCTGCTACCCCTTGAAGGAATTCGTGGTGTTTCAGGAATGGCTGGATTCCATCTTCTTTCACTTTCAACCTTGGTGACTTTTGTGACACGGGATTGCAGAGGATGGGAATTATGGTCTGGCAGCTACGGGCTTCCCACCCTGGCTTGCCACAGCCCTCTGGAAATTGATTGATTGATTGATTATGTGCTATCAAGTCATTTTTGACTCTTAGGGACCACATAGATAGGTTTTCTCATGACCTCAGGAAATATGCCTTCGTTAAACAGAGAATGGCTTTCCAGGGTGATCAAAATCTCTTATTCCTCCATTCAGAATGGAACTGCTAGTCGGGTTGCCAACTAGTCTGTCTTTAGATTACGCCAACACTTTAATTACCTGTCTCCTTCATGGTGGATCCTCAAAAGGAATGGCGGATCTGCTGAGATACGGCCTTTTCATTCATTCATGGTTACTTGAGGGAGTTACCTGAGCTCTTTCAATGGTAACGTGGGAATCCGAGAGTCACATGGGTTCCCTTAACAGGGCATCTGCCCTCCCTGCTAAATGCCCATTGTGAAACAAGCTTGTTACCGCCTGATGAACGAAATGGCCCTCGATTAATTGGCTGCTCCCTTTGCACTCTTGCTAGTCGCCTGCCTCGGGTCGCAATGAGCAGAAAGGTTGGGCACAAGGTGCCATGCCAAGCAGGGTACTGTAGGTGTGCACCACAGTGAAAAATGGGCCAATTGTTTACGGGGCAAGGGTTTCAGCGATGCCTTCCCTCGGGAGTTTTGCAAATGTCTGCTCTGGGGGAGAAAGGCCTTGAAGGATGCTGTGACGAACGACAATCCTCTTTCAGCTTCTGAAGGACCTACCAACAGCTGCTTTTAGTTGATGCAATCATGTTGTCTGACGTGGAAGTCTGGTTCCAGTGTGGCACTAAGTCATAGTGTGCCTGGCCACAGTTTAGGGAACGAGCCACAATGGGCTGGATTCACACTGCACTTTAATCCCAAACGAACCATCACATCATTCCCTTTGTGTGATTTGGGTACTCGTTCAAACCTGAAATAAGCCAGTGTCAGGGCCTCAGAGTGGTGGGACATTATTCGTATAACTAAGATTAGAATGCAAGCGGCACCTTAAGTAATTCTTCATTTCATGGCTCCTAACTGGTTAACTTTGGATCCCAATTAAAGGGCTCTGTCCAGAACAAGAGGCCCCTTGGCAGAATCACATGGGGCTGGCAAGGGTGCTGCAGAAGCTGATGCCCAACTGGATGCTGGACATGATTTATGGGAGGCACAGGAATGCCAACATCTAGGTTTTCCTCGTTCTTAGGGTAGCTACTGGCACACCATTAAAAAAAAAAGAATAAATCCAGAAGCTAGATTTGTGGAAAAACTGCATGGGGGCTGATTATGCACATCAAGAGGTAATTGTAACTTCAAGATGTAGCCCGTTCTCCATCAGGGGATCAAGACTGTGAGGTGGCAAGTCACACAAGGACCTGCAGCTCAGTTGGGTTGTCCTGCTGCTCACAGTGGGCGACCAGGCTGTCTCCTGCTCTCCATTGGTTACACTTTTTAACCCGGTCACGCACCCTTTAAACTGGACTGTTCCCTGAATGGCCTTTACAGAGCAAAGGGTCCTCTCTAAAGTTTGGGCACGTGGTCGCCCTCCTGATTTTTCAGATCACCTCATTGGACAAACCATCTCCACGTTCACCACCAGTTAAGAGGCTGATCATCTGAGACAAATAATCTCCTTACTGCAGAAGGAAAACTAAACTGAAATCCAGGTGCTAGACTGGGTTCAGCCCAGGAAGAGAGTGGGGACCGATTACTCTCAGAAGAAGAAAAAAACACGTTGCAATGACCCTATTAACTCCTCCTGTTCACTCCCATCACCAAAGTTCTTCCTCGCCTGATTTCTGCAGATAATTTACCAAATGCAGTGGGGAGATTAGTTTCTGACCATTAATCTTTCCTGCTCCAGGCAAAAAAGGAGAGCTGACCTGGGTCTCTCTTAATGAATGGACATCTCAACTTGAGTGCTCCAGAAAGGGAGAGGGGAAAAAAAGATAATGCAAATGAGAAACTCGGGTATGGATTTATGTCTGTCCCACTTGGGAAACTCACACTGATGGGTCACACTTCAGTGCATGGCAGTAAAAAAGAAAGATTTTCTTCTTCTTTTTTTCTCTTCTGGACCCCCCTCCTACTCTTCTAGCATTTGAGTTAGCTTGTTAATGAGGAGAAAGGAAAATGAGTAGCTGGGGAAAAGAAAAAAAAATGGTCCATTGTTTCAAACATTACTTTAGCCTATGTTTGTTTTAATTCTCAGTTTTTCCAGGGTTTTCCAGTTCACCTACATTTTGGCTTTCCATCATTAAGCTCTGTGACCTTGCTCAACCCAACTTTCTGCTTGTTCTCATGAAGTCAGGGCTTCTCCAACTCCATTATGCTCCCCTTTCAAAGATTTCCTGCCCAACACCAAAATAATTCGAAAAATGCCCTTTCCTACTTTAGGATCCCATCCCCCTCCCGCCCCAGTTGGGATTCCCCAGAGAGGACGGGGAGCAACCAAGTCTTCAGGGCAACCACCCATGGTCATTTCTCAATAACGTCTTGTCCTCAAGGCATTGTGCAGTCATTTTGGGGCACGGTGAGAAAACTGGAAAAAAAAAATAATCCAGCGGCTTGGGACATCCACGGGTTCAAAAAGGGCCTTGGCAGTGGCTGTGCCATGAGGTGGCATCAGACTTGTTGAAGGACAAGGGTGTCCACAAGGTATGGTCAAGAAAGTCAAGAGGGTGGCCCCAGCGGTGCAGTTGAAGCTCCGACTGTTTTTAATGGGTGTTGTGGTGGCCATCTTGACTTTTTTGAGCATATTTTGTTGAGACCTCTGTCCAAGAAAGTCTCCTGTTCGCTTCTTTTAAATCCCACCGCTTGCATGAAGCTTTTGCCATCCACCTTAATCCCTATCAGACAGATATAAATGCACGCTTCTCCTGCCAATCCCAGCCTTTATATCTTGTCCTTTCTCTGCATTAACGCTCCTGTCAGCTCTAGATTGTCAGCTTTTCAGGGAAACAACCAGTATTTTCTAGTCACTGCATTGTAAAGGGTTATCGTGCTGCAGAGCAGCAACAAG